TATGTGGGTATATCATAGATGACAGTATGTGGGTATGTCTGTGATGAGAGTATGTGGGTATGTCAGTGATGACTGTATGTGGGTATGTTAGTGATGACTGTATGAGGGTATGTTAGTGATGACGGTATGAGGGTATGTCAGTGATTACAGTATGTGGGTATGTCAGTGATGACATTATGAGGGTATGTCAGTGATGACTGTATGTGGGTATATCAGTGTTGACAGTATGTGCGTGTGTGAGTGTTGACAGTATGTGGGTATGTCAGTGATGACAGTATGTGGGTATGTCAGTGATGACAGTAAGAGGGTATGTCAGTGATAACTGTATGTAGGTATATCAGTGTTGACGTATGTGGGTATGTCAGTGATGACAGTTAGAGGGTATGTCAGTGATGACTGTATGTGGGTATGTCAGTGATGACATTATGAGGGTATGTCAGTGATGACTGTATGTGGGTATATCAGTGTTGACAGTATGTGGGTATGTGACATACCCTGGTTGCAGGATGCCTGACGCACGCACCCTCAGTGTGCAGTTACATGCATGTGGTCTGGCCAGATGCGTCTATCGAGTTGACGTTAAACTCAGCTCTGACTGTAGACGGACAAACAAGCTCTAGCCAATTCTCCAACTTCAAAATGCAGACACTGTATTTGCAACTAATTTTGTTTTTTGTGAAGTCTTGATGTGATTTTTGAAATCAATTTCCGCTGGCATCAGATTTATGACATAAAGTAGAACCATAGGCGGCGGTGTCAGTCAAGCCGACCGCGTGCACAACATGACACAAACTCTGTCTAAATCCGGCCCTGCCAGGAGTTGGAAATTCCACAGGGGACTTGTTATTGAAATGTTGCATTTGTGAGTTTCATCCAGTACATCAGAACAGGTACACAACTTAGATGGATGGTGAGTCAATTTCGTCTTATCACTAGCCACAGGAGGCAGGAGCAATACTTAGATGAGTGAGTGAGTGAGGTTAGTTATACACCGCACTCAGCAATATTTCAGCTATATGGCGGCGGTCTATAAATAATCGGATCTCGACCAGACAGTCCTGTGATCAACAGCATGAACATCGATCTACGTAATTGGGATGCTATGACATGAGTCAACCAAGTCAGCGAGCCTGACCACCCGATCCCGTTAGTCGGGTCTTACGACAAGCATGGGTTGGTGAAGATCAATTCCAACCCGGATCTTCACGGGTATTAGGTATGTGGCTGTAACGAAGGTAGATTATATGCCCCGTGTTAGTCACGAGTAATATCTATCAAAACCAAACAGGATTAAACAAGACAAGTACTACTTGAATCGATCCTTATCTTCCATTTTACTTTCTGAGGTATTGTATTCTAACTGTTAGGTCGACGCAACACCGAACCTCCGGATGACCGCAGTGACATAGCACCAGTCTTGTCTACACAGCAGGGACAAGCTGTATGTTTGGAATTTGTCACTGGTAACCAGGAAGCATCATAGAGTCATGTTACAACGCATCTACCGAGACAGCTCTATGCACACAGTAGAGTACGTCTAATCAGAAAGTTCTACATACATTACAGAGTACATTTATTAAGGTAGCTCTCTGTCTACGCAGGCACGTTCTCTGAGGTAGCCATCTATAGACTGGCGAGTTCGTCCGCTGACCAGTGTGTGAATTAATTTTGAAAGGTCACTGGCCAGGAGGGCTAGTTAAGTAAAAATGTTGCTAGCCAACATCATACTTCACTGGCCCTGCACAATATCAATGTCAAAATGCTATTTTATTGTAATAGCTCATAACCTCTTTTGCTCTTTTATTACCATTTTTTTTTATAAAGCTATCTTCGTGTGACAAGAGATAATATATATTATGGAACTTTTGCGCACTGACTTTTAACACCTTGATAATTGACTTAATATTATTCATATGCATTAAATAAAGAAAAAAATATCTGAGATTTTGAGCTAGCCAGTCGTGGTAGCTTTAACAACATATTACTGGCCCGATTCACAATCACCTAGTATTTGGCTAGCGGGCCAGCAGCTGTTTCGAACGCTGCTGCTGACGCTGTCCTATATGCATTGTAGAGGATGTAACACGTACTATATTTGGGATTACACTTTCTCAGTAAAGTACAGAGTCTAGTAAACCCAAATTTAACATGTGTTACATATGACACTTTTCTAAATGGCATTGTGCATTCATATTTCGGCCGTGGAGCCGTACCAGTTTACACTTATCAGAGGGGTACACAGAATCTGTTGTCCAGACTACTGCTCTGAGTGTCTGGGTTCGAATCCCGGATGGGAATCAGCCAAACAAAAGCACTGGAATCTATAATCTATTGAGAAACAGTAATCCCAAACATAACGTGTTACATTTAACCACATTCTAAATGACCTTGTGTATTCACTGTAGACAATGCTGACTGCAGCAACCATCTATAGTCTACCGGCGTGAGTCACCTAGCTCTGTGACAGCCAAGGCCAAAGCCTGTTTGTTCACTGCGGTAAGATAATTTGAATAATACCAATACTGCAATTCATGCAAATCATGTCATCACAGCGAAAAAAATGAATAACGCGACACGAAAATATGAAAATTTGAAGAAAATACTCTTATGCATTAAGACAGGTATGAACGTTCACCAGTGTTACCGGGTGAAGACGATCGTATGACGGTGTTGTCAGCACTTTAAACGTGTGTCGGGTGTGTGTGTGTGTGTGTGTGGGGTGTGTGTGTGTGTGTGTGGGGGCGGGATATGCAATCTGCCATCGCATAATTGGTATTCTTCAGCACTTGTGTTAGCTGTCTTGTGTCACAAGTGTTACTCTCCATTGTCAGCATTTGTTTTGGTTTATGTTTACAATGTTACGTCAATATAGAAGCCAGAAAGCCCTGCTGGTTTGTGTGGTATGAAAGGCAATAGGTCGACAACTAAATCCTCTGCACATATCCTTCACCGAGTTCAGATTTATGAAATACTCGTATTGAAGTTCATATTGACTGTAAACGACCTGATGTTATATACACTGACAGATAGACAGATATTATTTCAGTATAAGGCCACTGTCCAAAATATATTTATACACATGAAGTAGATATACAGCATGCTTTAATTATGATCTTTTTAATAAGGCGTGTAAATTTAGAAGAAAATAGCAAGAAATCTGCAAAGTAGTTTTTCCAGTTGATTATTGCAGAGCTTTGTTCAATTCCTATTTTAAAGTTGGAACACTGGAATGAAGCTAATATTCTGCGTAGCTAAAGGGGAAAGTCAAGTGTCACATATTTAGTTTAGCATAGATTTGCAATGTCTGCGCGTTGAACACTTATTGCTTCAATAAAGGGAGGCGTTGCCAGTCTTGAGTTAGAGTATCGTTTAGTCGTTGTTAAAAAGTTGATATAAATATTTCAGTATTTCGGACTATTTCCTATTTCCTGTTGGATCCAGATTATTCCGAAGAAAAGTTTATGTAGAATTGATTTGATGTCTGCAGCCCAAGTTTTTCTCCCTGCATCTGAGGCCGATTTAAGCGCGAGATAAGCTTGGGGTGGTAACCTAGATGTAGATGAATGACACGGCACCAGTCAACGATAGCTCTGTTCATATCCCACACTCTCCGAAAACCATATACGTTGGAGTTGACTTGGATAGACCAAGAACACGCTTACAGAATGAGGTGTGAACAGTGATTTTGCTGAATGATGTTCCCATCACCTCGGCACCATGACACAATACTGGAACCGCCATACTATCATACAGCTTAAACATATCACTGCAGGCGAAATCACCAAACTTCCTTTGCTATTGGTATATTGCCAATATAGCCTTCCGTGCTTGTGCAGCTTACTCCAAGACAGCTTCGGCGAAAACACAATGCCTAGATATCTGTACTGATTCACCGTTTCAATGTGTTCAACTTTAAAATACCGTTTCACGTACTTTCGAAGAGATATAAAAACTATTATCTTGGATTTATTCAAATTAATTTTCATCCTAGTTTTGTCATAGAATTCTTGATCTAAAACAGCAATCTTTCGTTGTAATTGTCCAGAGCATATATATCTGGTATTTCTGTTGTAATCCCCCTTCCTCCTGCCCGGTTCATCATCAATGAGTTCATGTATGAAGATTATAAAGAGTTTGGGACTCAGCACACATCCCTGCCTGGTACCCATGTTGCTGCTGTAGTACTTAGACAGACCACTTCCAGTTCGTACACACGCACTGAGATTTCTGTACATTGATATTAAAATGTTTAAGAGATTCCCTTGAAGTCCAACACTTCTCAACTTCTCCAGTAGAATATCATGGTTAATACAGTCGAACGCATTACTAAAGTCCATTAACAGACTGAAAAATCGCCCGTTTCTTTTAGAAAGGAACTTTTGTGCCAGTGCATAAAGCGGAAAGATCTACGGTCGAGTAGCCGGGTCTGAACCAAGCCTGGATTTCATCAATAACCTGTTTTTCATCACACCAGATTTGAAGTCTTGTATTTATTACTGATGTAAAAACTTTGCAAACAGTGTTTATCAAAGAAATACCTCTGTAGTTCCCAGGATAGTCTTTGCTGCCGGATTTGAACAGTGGACATCTGATGTTCTTATTCCATTTAACAGGAAATGTTCCAGATAGAAAAAAAAGGTAAAAAAGTTTAGTTAAAATGCCAATTACACGACCTGATGTGAATATACCTTTATATGCTTCATCCCTATTTGGGCGGTGGGGTAGCCTAGTGGTTAAAGCGTTGGCTCGTCACGCCGAAGACCCGGGTTCGAATCCCCACATGGGTACAATGTGTGAAGCTCATTTCTGGTGTTCCCCTCCGTGATGTTGTCGGAATATTGCTAAAAGCGGCGTAAAACCAAACTCAGTCAGTCAGTCAGTCAGTCATCCTTATTTCAGTCACCACTCGGAACGCCTCGAGTCCCTTACACCAGACTCAGCAATATTCCAGCTACATTACCGCTACCTGGAAATAGGCATAATGTAAAAGCAGCAAGCAATTAGTATCGGACATGGTACAGAACGTCAACCCGTCGACTGTCAGGTAACTGTGGCAAGCAGCCCGGTGAATACGACCGAACAGTCACTGTGAGCGTACATCCCTTGTCAACAGTCACTGTGAGCGTACATCCCTTGTCAACAGTCACTGTGAGCGTACATCCCTTGTCAACAGTCACTGTGAGCGTACATCCCTTGTCAACAGTCACTGTGAGCGTACATCCCTTGTCAACAGTCACTGTGAGCGTACATCCCTTGTCAACAGTCACTGTGAGCGTACATCCCTTGTCAACAGTCACTGTGAGCGTACATCCCTTGTCAACAGTCACTGTGAGCGTACATCCCTTGTCAACAGTCACTGTGAGCGTACATCCCTTGTCAACAGTCACTGTGAGCGTACATCCCTTGTCAACAGTCACTATGAGCGTACATCCCTTGTCAACAGTCACTGTGAGCGTACATCCCTTGTCAACAGTCACTATGAGCGTACATCCCTTGTCAACAGTCACTATGAGCGTACATCCCTTGTCAACAGTCACTATGAGCGTACATCCCTTGTCAACAGCCACTATGAGCGTACATCCCTTGTCAACAGTCACTGTGAGCGTACATCCCTTGTCAACAGTCACTGTGAGCGTACATCCCTTGTCAACAGTTACATGACAATAGTGTTCCAGCAATCACATGTTACAAGAACAACCTTTCTGTGATTAATGGCCTCACATAAATAATGATCAGCAGAAACAAATATCCCTTTTTCCAGGCAACCTTCTATTAACCTTCTAAGAGACAGTTACTGTTGACGTGACGGATGTGTTCCTGAAACTTCCGTGTTTCATGCGGCCCATGCATGCTCACTGTTCAAAATCACATAACAGCAAACCTCAGCAGACAAAAAGGGAGTGGTAATCAACTGCCAATTGGAATGGAAGGTTACCGGATTATTCAAATTGATGGTATTGCAGTTGAAGTTCCCGATGGCTATTGTTTTGTGGAAGGAATTGTTCTACATCGGAAAACACTTTCTGATCACATAGAGAAAGGCAGACGGGATCTACACAACACATCTTACAACTTCACATTGTGCTTCAAACACTTTGTTAAAAGGCTGAATGGCAATACTGTTCCACCAAATCTAAACTTGCAGGTAACTGGTTACAAGAGTCAGCGCTCTGTTATTGTAACCTGCCATGTTGATCAGCTGAAGCAACTATTACAGATAATTCCAGAAAGCATTCCATCTGAGACACTGAGCACAGTAATATACCTCTGGCATCGTCAGAATCTTGTTTACTGAATACAATCAAAACATAACGATTAATGTCCTCCCAGTCCAGTACCGGTCAAGCAAGAGGGACTGTCGCGGAAAACTGACACCCACCAACACTGTTGTGACCTGTCGGCGGCAGGGGTGGTGTCCCACACGTCAGAGCGGGGCTTGGTTTGAATCACTGAGTTTGTCTGATCACAGATACAGCAGAACAAATCGCTATTCCTGTAATTACGCCTAAACAGTTTCAAATATGCAATATCGCACCGTTTTCGTATCGAATGTTTTCAGGAACAAATAATTCTCGCTGAACGATTCTTCCCAAAAAATTATAGGGTTATTTGATTTGCCTGACATGGCCAAAGAATAAAATATTTATCCGTAAGCATCGTTATATTTATACATATTCGGTGTATGTCTGTTTCCAACGGTGAAAACCTTCAGGCGCATTGATGTATACAAGTCTAGTTATGTAACATGGGACGTTTCAACTCTTCTATGTTTGTCAAATGCTCGGTCAGAACCAGTTCACAATTATTCTGTTGGTATCCAGCATGTTACTGGTGTTACCGGTTGATTCCAAGGTTCAAACTGTAAGTTGACCGGAACTAAGTCCGTAGAAGAACTCCGAGTGGAACCAACAGACAACAAACATATGTGAAATGAGTAACAGTTGTACCATACGATAGATTACAATAGGAATTGTTGTACGGGAAGTATCACTATAGCACCAACCGTATTGTACATACAGACAGCAGACGTGTCATTATAGTAGCGACAGTGTTGTATACAGACAGCAGACGTATCACTATAGTAGTGACAGTGTTGTATACAGACAGCAGACGTATCACTATACAGTGTTGTATACAGACAGCAGACGTATCACTATAGTAGTGACAGTGTTGTATACAGACAGCAGACGTACCACTATAGTAGTGACAGTGTTGTATACAGACAGCAGACGTATCACTATAGTAGTGACAGTGTTGTATACAGACAACAGGCGTATCACTATAGTAGCGACAGTGTTGTATACAGACAGCAGACGTGTCACTATAGTAGCGACAGTGTTGTATACAGACAACAGACGTATCACTATAGTAGCGACAATGTTGTATACAGACAACAGACGTGTCACTATAGTAGTGACAGTGTTGTATACAGACAACTGACGTATCACTATAGTAACGACAGTGTTGTATACAGACAGCAGACGTATCACTATAGTAGTGACAGTGTTGTATACAGACAACAGGCGTATCACTATAGTAGTGACAGTGTTGTATACAGACAACAGGCGTATCACTATAATAGTGACAGTGTTGTATACAGACAACAGACGTATCACTATAGTAGTGACAGTGTTGTATACAGACAGCAGACGTGTCACTATAATAGTGACAGTGTTGTATACAGACAGCTGACGTGTCACTAAAGTAGTGACAGTGTTGTATACAGACAGCAGACGTGTCACTATAGTAGTGACAGTGTTGTATACAGACAACAGGCGTATCACTATAGTAGTGACAGTGTTGTATACAGACAGCAGACGTGTCACTATAGTAGTGACAGTGTTGTATACAGACAGCAGACGTGTCACTATAGTAGCTACAGTGTTGTATACAGACAACAGGTGTATCACTATAGTAGTGACAGTGTTGTATACAGACAGCAGACATATCACTATAGTAGTGACAGTGTTGTATACAGACAGCTGACGTATCACTATAGTAGTGACAGTGTTGTATACAGACAGCAGACGTATCACTATAGTAGTGACAGTGTTGTATACAGACAACAGGCGTATCACTATAATAGTGACAGTGTTGTATACAGACAACAGACGTGTCACTATAGTAGCGACAATGTTGTATACAGACAACAGACGTATCACTATAGTAGTGACAGTGTTGTATACAGACAGCTGACGTATCACTATAGTAGCGACAATGTTGTATACAGACAACAGACGTGTCACTATAGTATTGACAGTGTTGTATACAGACAGTAGACGTATGACTATAGTAGCGACAGAGTTGTATACAGACAACAGACGTGTCACTATAGTATTGACAGTGTTGTATACATACAGCTGACGTATCACTATAGTAGTGACAGTGTTGTATACAGACAGCTGACGTATCACTATATTAGTGACAGTGTTGTATACAGACAGCTGGCGTATCACTATAGTAGCGACAGTGTTGTAAACAGTCGGAAGAAGCACCACGATTGTATCGCCCGTGACCAGTATGTCAGGCACTTGTAGCACACGTCGTCGCCTCCGCTGTCTTCAAGTGCACATAGTTTGCGATGTAAAAATGACCACCAGACACATGTGATGCTGCAAGAATTCTTTCCTGTCGGTGCACTTCAGAGGCAGTACTGCCGAACTCATCTGACGGCCGGTGCGTGGCATAAAAGGGCCCAACTTAACAAAGGTTGTGTGGCTTGGGAACAGCCGTGTCGGAGACGATTACCTGAACCACTATCATCCACTGACAATATAAGCTCCCGCTTTACTAGTATACACAGGCTGCAGTGTGCGCGTAGCTGCCTTCTTCTCGGTCGATACTTCTCTGTCTGTTTTAAAGATTGCTGGACCCCATACCGCTGTTCCACAGGCTGTTGTAATTGGCTTACCGACTACACATTCTGTATAACGCCTGGACACTTCAGTGGCGACCGTCAGTACGCTGCACGAGGGACGCAAGGCGAGTGACAGGGACATGGTGGGGCACAGAGGAGGCTTTTTTCAGAAACCACGTAATGGGGTGAGTGACGATTCCGTGTATTTCTACGCTTCGCTGGAACCTCTAACAGATTACTCCGGCACTCCAGGCATGCTGTGATTCACATGGCTGTGTGTTCAGTGACAAGTTTCAGAGTTGGCAACTAGTAACCCATCTTGTCATTATCCAAGAGTGTGGAGGATCTAGCAGCTGGCACACAGTGGTGCACACACTAGTCACTCGTAGCGGGCTGTGTTTCCTGGATACAAGAAGCAAGCAATAGCGCAATACCTGCTGTGTATCATCTCCTGTTTTTACGTGTAATTGTTTCAAGAGGAAGAATGTCTTCACTCAGTAAATAGTTTCTTATTTAGTGTGTTGATTAACTGTGACAGAACTGGAGGTGCAATATTTTCTACTTTTGTACTGTGCGTCACATGCCTGGCTCGTGAGAGAAAAGATCTCGTTCTATGTCAGTCTCCGCGCCGTGTTAGACATTGGAGCGAGATACTGGCTTTATAAGTGATTTTATGCAATCAAGTTTATGCATCGCTAACGCATTACTCTCGGGTGCAGCTGGGATTACAGCGCGCTCGCATGGCTGGTGAGACAATACAACTTTTCTCATAAGGCGAATCTATCAAAGGAGTCCAAAAGTTGTTTGAATCAATACATCATACTCCATAACAAGCCGTGAGTATTGTAGCTCAAGTCTGCTTGCCAAACAAATCCTTGGGTTTCAAGACATCATTTCTTGCCTATTGTTGCAGTGAAGGTTTGGCGTTTTTATAACATTTCCACATTATTAAACAGAGTGTCTGAAGCCAATCCTTCGTTGGCACGTGAAAAGGAGTTAACTGCGTCATATATGACCACTGAAGTGACGGCTACTCAGGACACGAACAGAGAGAAGGGCTCGCCAACACAAGGGACAACACACGGGTATTCAAACAAGGTGAAGGCAGTGTCCAGGAGGTCAGAAGTCAATGAGAGTGCTGGTCCAGAGACAGTCTAGAATACATGTACAATGGACTGTAACGACAAATACCCAGATGTGACTATTGCAGAGCAGAGGCCGCTGACGAACGCCAACAATGTTGGTACCAAAGAGACAGTTGTGACTCTACGACAGCCCCGCGACAAAGGGTGCTATATGTCAAGATTTCAAGTGGGAATACTATGTTCGTTTCTCATACTTGTCATTGTGATAATTACATTGTTGGTTCTGTTTTTCGGTACGGAGGTGGGTTGTTTCTGTTACGGCATATCCAGGGGGCCATCATCATCTGCCCAAGGTCAGACTCAGAGGCCGACCACCCGGCTGTCCAATATAACTGATAACATACCCTTCAGCACTGCCACCAACCTCACCACCTCTGGTCACAGGAAGTGTGTGTGTATAAACGGGACCCTTGGTGACAGCCATTTTCCTGATTCCACTAGTTTCCCCACCCTGACACCTGCAGACACACACAGTTTACCCCCATGGCGGACGATCCGTCTCCCCCGGGACCTAGTCCCCTCATTCTACGAGGTGCAGCTGACAGTGGACCTAACACACTTCATCTATCACGGTTCAGTTAACATGAGTGTGCGGGTGGTTAAAGCCACCAGTTTTGTCATGTTCCATAGGAATTCTATAGACATTATAGAACGTTCGGTGAAGGTGTTACCCCTCGGTGATCAGTACCCTGCCAGGAAGATCAAGCGCCAGTTCTATGACAGCGAGTACCAATTCCATGTAGCAGAGCTTGATGGCGAGCTCCCTGCAGGGTCGGAGTACGTGATCCAAGTGGCTGAATACGACGGTCATATCAGGGACAATCTGAGAGGGCTCTACTTCAGCTCCTACAAGACCAAAGAGGGAAGAACCAGGTAAACTTATCTTCGTTTTCGCACTCTCTCACTCTGTCTGTTTGTCTGTGTTTGTGTGTGTGACAGCTTTTGTCCGATATGGACAAATGTCTTGTTGACGACGGTACAATGTTCTTGGATGACGCACATGTTGACGCAGTGTCGATGTCATCGAACATAACAGAACCAGGGCCTATTAGAAAAATGATTGATTAATACCGTGAAGTTGGAAAAGGTTTCGTCACACGGCGGATGCTGTTTTCATATTTCTGTACATGCTTTGTGACAAGTTAGTGTACGCGATGAAACATAACGTTGTCATCGCCGACTACGGGGGAGGACGCCGTTTGTCTACACGTTGACGTCCAACAGGTAGTTACAACAGCTACAACCGGAAGCCCTGCATGTGAACGCTTTTAG